CTAGCTGTATAAGTTCTTATCCATTAATATTAGTTTTGTTATAGTGATAGTTTTAAGTGCTTGTTCATTACTTACAAAATAAAGAACGAACCGAACATAACACAATAATGGCATTCTGGTGTGCCGCTTCTATTTGTCTTAATCCTCTTCCTCCATCTTTCCTGCTGACGTACAATCTATCCACATCAGCCTTTGGATGTAACGCACCATTCATGGTTAATATTTTTCTTGTCCTTCTATCTAGGTGCGTGATTTCTTCTTTCGTCCAGTCTACGAGGCCAAAACTATATTCTATTACAGGAACTGCTAATGTGCCGACGGCGGTTATCTTATTTCTTCCATTCAGTTCCGACTGTAATATAAGCCTCAATCTTTTAAAATATTCTCTCTTCAATCGAGGTTTAATTTCCTTGTTGGCTATCCCAAAATTTTCTTCAATCCCCAGATATTTGTATGATGATCCAGGGTCCAATTCTTTAATAAGTTCTTCTTCGGAGTCTTCTATATTTTGCTTTTGTTTTAACTTTCCTCTGACAATATTAACTTTTGCACATTTTTCCAAACCAAATTTCATGTTGATGTCAGAGGAAAAGGTTTGAACCGTCCGTAACATTTTATTTAACTCCTCTTCATTTTTGGCATAAAGTTTTAAGTCATCCATGTATAACATATGGGTGATTTTCCTGCCTCCCGGTACCAACTCATATCCTTGATCCTTGATATTAAGCTGTCTGGATAGAGGAATTAAAGACATGCAAAATAAAAGTGGCGACAATGAATCTCCCTGAAAAATCCCTCTTTTTATAAATATTTTTCTAGAAGAGTATTTTTGCACTTCCAGCTGGGTGCACCAATTTTTCATACTCTTCTCGCAGAACGCTGTAATTTTAGGGTCTACTTTATATATTTTCAATGCCTCAATAATCCATTCGTGAGGCACACTATCAAAGGCCTTTTGATAGTCAATCCATGCCATGCTTAAATTCTTCCTCTTTTGTTTTGCACTGGCCATGATCAATTTATTTATTAATAAAACCTCCTTGCAGCCGTAAGACCCTTTCCTGCATCCATATTGTTCAGGAGGAAAAATGTTATTTTTTCTTAAATGCCCATAAATCTTTTCAGCAATAATAGCTGTTATTATTTTATACATTGTGGGCAAACAGGTAATTGGCCGAAAATCTTTCGGTTCCATAGCTCCTGATTTTTTTGGCAGCAAATACGTTTTTCCCGTGGTTATCCATTCTGGCATTTCTTGCCGTCCCATTATTAATTTATTTATGGATACCAGTAAATACTTATGGGTACTTGTAAAATTCTTAATCCAAAATTATTATTATTATTATTATCATTATTATTATTAATTAAGCATTACATACCATAGATAATTAATTGATTACCGTAATTAATAATAACAATAATCAAAACCCTTTTTTTTTATCGCATAGAAATTCGTCACTCGAAGGAAATGTAAACAAAGTTTTTGTTTCCTTTCTCAATACAATATCATCATTATTAATTTTTTTTTAAAAATAATAATAATAATTTAACGGTTGGTCGTAAGTGTTAAAAACCGCAAAACCGCGACAGACACGTTAAACAAAATATTTGTCGACGTTTCTTTGTTTTTATCAATGAAAAACGGTTAAAATATTTAAATAGATAAAATCTCAACTTTAAATGAGTTATAAAACGTGTTTTATCATTATTATTATTATTATTATTATCGACAACTACTTATTCGTTTCGGTTTCTTACACTTTATTTTGTCGTGGCTTTAAGCATCGTCGTGTCACCTTTTAACATAATAAAAAAAAAAAAAAAACCGTGTAATTATCTAATTGGATAGTTTCGATAGAGAATAAATTTAAACTTTTTAAATTTTTTTTAATAAAAACTTTTTTTTATTCGAAGGTCACGTGTTGTAAGTTTAACGGAAACCATGCACGCGCACACGCACACTAAACCGTAAAATATATATATATATATATATATATATATATATTTTTTAATCGAATTTTATCGGCAACTTTTTTTTTTTAATCGTAATTAATTATTTATTACGTCATTAAAAAAAAAAAGTTTTTCCGACAGGAAAATGGAATTAAATAATATAATTTTTTAGGGACATTAGCACAGACCGTAAAAATTAATTAAATTATAAATAATAATAATAATAATAATAATAGCTGTGATATTATAAAAAAGGTAACGAATTTTTTTTTTCGGAGTTTAAAACAATACGTAATAAAAAATAAATAAATAAATAAAAAACCGTCATTAATTTATATTAAAAGTTTTGTAAAAGAAAAAAAAATGGAGCAGAAGAAAAAAAAGGAAAAGAGAGAGAGAGAGTCTAAAAACCGGAAACTATTCGTACGGCCTATTTTCCAACAAACGGAGTCCACACCCCGTGTCAAAATGATGACAGGTTTGCATGTTTCATGATTTACCTTTTTTTCTTCTTCTTCTTCTTCTTCTTCCTCCTATTCATATTCGTGATTAGGATTTTCATATTTTTTTTAACCGACAAAAAAAAAAAAGAAAAAAATTTTTTTGCGTTCTTGTTTAAAAAAAAAAAACTGTGTTTTAATTATAAAAAAATAATTTTAAAAAATCACAAATTTATTATTATTATTACTATTATTATTAATAATTCGTACGCAGTGTGTGCGCGTGCGCGTGCGCGTAAGTATTAAAAGTGCGTGTGTTCCCGGAAATAATTAAAACGCGTGTTGTTTCCCGTCGTGACGAATCATTTTTAAAATTTTTTTTCTTCTGCTTATTTTTCGTCTGCTTTTTTTTCTGCTTATTTTTCGTCTGCTTTTTCTTCTGCTTATACGTATATATGTTACGTCACAAAACGTGTGAAATTATTTTAATAAAAAAAAAAATCCGACGGTTATTTATTTATTTATTTTTTAAAAACTGAATTGTAATAGAGAGAGAAAGAGAGAGTGAGAGAGAGAGAGAGAAAAACAAGAAATATTTTTTATACCTAATTGAAAACTAAATAACCAAAGCAATAATAATAAACTTTTATTTTGATGAGTTCAAATTGTGTTTTTTTTTTCTTCTCCTTCTTTTCCTTTTTCGTTTATTAACTTTTAATCGAAATATTAACTTCAACGTCAAGATTTTCTATTGTTGTTGTTGTTGTTGTTGTTGTTGTTGTTGTGTTTTCATCATCAATATAAACTGGATTAGATTTACAACAACCGTGAAAATTTATAACATTTTATTTTAATTTTTTAAATATTTTTCATTAATAATTTATTGCTCTTTTTTTTTTTGTTAAAAGATGAGATGAGGTTAAGGCCAAAAAAAAGACGTGGACGAAACGTAATATATCGGACGAACCACTATTGACACGTTTAAAACTATTCCATTTTTTACATTCGTGTAACAAACGCACACACAAACAAACAACAAATCAGTTATTAGTCGTAAAATAATAATAATAATCGTGATTAATTATTGTTTTGTTTGTTTGTTTTTTTGTTGACTCACAAAATTTTTATTTGTTTAACAACAAACCCTTCGACCGGATGTCACATAAGTTTTTCTCTCTCTTTCTCTCTTCATTTTTTTTTTAATATTATAATTAATTTAAAAGCTTCCGTAAGTTATTAAAAAAAAAAAAATACTATATCAATAAATTTAACAAAAAAAAAAAAAGAAACGATGATAATGATAACAGTAATCTTCTTCTTTTTCCTTTTTTTTTTAATTTAACGAAACAATATGTATGATGAGTTTCGTGAAATGAGCACAAAGTTGCTAATTTTATGAACTTTTTAAATTTATCCACTGCACGCAACAACAACAACAACAAACACAACAACAAACGGATAAAAGAAAAGAAAACTATATTAGTGACAGTTATTCGATTTTGCCAACTCGTTTATTCGTTTTTTTTTTTTTTTAGATATTTTATTATGCATAATTTTTACGATCGAAATTCGTTACGTATAAACAAATGACGACGACAATAATAATAATTATTATTATTAATATTTTTATTTATTAATAATAATAATAATTATTATTATTAATATTTTTATTTATTAATAATAATAATAATAATAAATAAAATACGACACGCGTTAATTTTTTTGCCAATTGGGCCAACAACAAACGATGGGGGGGAAACGTTTTAAACAAATTTTATTATACAATTTTTACTTAAATTTTTTGGGTTATTACACCGCGTCAAATTTTTAGAAAATGGAGCGAACTCACCCATTTTTCCAAACGTTTCGCCGATTTGAACAGCTATCGGCATCCTCAGTGGAGTCTTGCGTACCTGTGTACTTAACACTTGCACAATCAAAACAAAACTGATAATAACCCAAAAAATTTAAGTAAAAATTGTAGAGTAGAATGCCGCGAAAGTCTAAATAATATAAATTTTATTATGTTCTTTTTTTTTTAACCGGGGGGTGGGGAGGAGACGGGATGGGAAGGGGAGGAGGAAATCAGGGCATCTTTTGTAGAATTTTACTTTTCTTTCATTTTAATATAAATAAGTTCTTATCACTACATTATTGATAAAATACTCGAGAGTAATGTCTGCTGTGTCATACGAGACGTTAATTTTATTTTAATTATTATTATTATTTTTTGTAATAAAGACGGGGGCGGAGTGGGAGCGAGGGGGGTGAAAAACCAAATATAAATTTAACGGTATTGTTTATCGACGACTTTTTACCCGATGAAAAAATAATAATTATTATTATTAATAAAAAAAAATGAATAGAATAATTTTCTTATAACGAATTCAATTGAAAAAAAAACCCCAACGGAGAGAAATAAATAATTTTTCCTTTTTTTTCCTTTTTTTCCTTTTTTTTCTTTTTTTTCCTTTTTTTTGTTTTACGCGATGAAAATGAACGACGCGCAATAAATTTATAAATAATTTAAAAAATTTAATTTTATTTGTTATTTATTTAAATAATTACAATAATACAAAGCGACTATTATTCATTCGTTTAAATTATTATTATTATTATTATTATTTATTTCATTGTCACCGTATCAATGCATGCAATCGTATTCGTTATTAATAATAATAATAATAATAATTCAATTTTTTTTTATTAAAGTGAAAATTTTAATGACCGACTCGAAAAAAAAAAAAATTCATAGTTAATTAATTACATTTCTTCATTCCTATCATTATTATATTTTAGTTTAATTTTTTTTATGTACATAATTAATAATAATAATAATAATTGTATGTAATTTAAAGAAAAAAAAATTAAATCTTTCATTTACTATATAATAAATAACAAACGGAAATGAAATTTGAAAAAAAAACGTTGATTAATATCAATTATAATAAAATAATTGTCGTGGAATTAAAAAAAAAAAATTTATTTCACGTCATTTTTTTTTTTTTTTAATTGGAAAAAACGAAAGGAAAAATTAAAGAACGAGTAAATAATAATAATAATAGTGCTATTGACACGTTAAAAAGTGTTTGGGGTTTGAAAAACTTTCGTCATCACGATAACCCATTCGTAAGTTTTTTTTTATTTGTTTATTATTTTTTTTGTTCACTCGATGAGTATTAATTAATAAGTATTAATTATAAGTAAAAAAATTAATAATTTATTTCATTTGGTTGTTGTTTGTTTGTTTGTTGTTTGTTGAAAATATCGCATTAGAAGAAAAGAAATCAATATATGTCGCATATATATATTCATAAATTTATTCAAGAAAGGGAAAACTCAAAAAAAATTTTTTTTGTTTTTTTTTTTTTCCTTCTTGTTTATCACAACATGTTTCATAACAACAACAGCAAAAAAAAGACGTTACAAACTTTTTCATAACAAAAAAAAATAGTTTTTTTTTTCGTATGTTTCGGACAAATATTCACTCCTCGACCCGACAACATTTTGTTATTATTATTATTATTATATTCAAAAAAAAATTTAAATTTTATTTATTTATATATATTTTCTACAAGTTTTAAATCGCAACAGTAAAAAATAATAATAATAATATTATGCGGAAAAAAAAGGTCTAAAGTCCGACAAACATCTGACAGCAGAATAAAAAAAAAAAATAAAGAAAGTTTACAAAAAAAAAAAATTATTCAAAAAACAAAAATGGACACCATTTTCTTTTCTTCTTCTTCCACTTTAAAAAAAATTTTTTTTTAATTAAACAGTTTTTTTTTTTATTTGGGGGACCGTTTTTTCTTTCGCTTAGGGTACCAACCTTTCTATTAATCTTTTTTTCCTCCTCGCCGTTAAGGATGAA